CGCTGATTGGCCCTTATATTACGTGCTCCGACAGCAATAACCTCCGCAGCAATGGTGTCAGCCTGGAAAACGCGCCCTGGAAAACATGGGCCAAGGCGAAGCACAGGCTCGCTACCATTGGGCCCGAGACGTTGAACTGTTAAAGACTTGAGACTCATGGTGGAAAATTCGTGTGACTGATAAAGGACGTAGGCTCAAAGACTGCGATGTTCACCTGGCTCTACGGGCAATTAAAGAATCCATCTACAGTGCGATGGACGTGGGATGCGTCGCCGCCGCCCAGTTGCACCGGGAGACCAAGTTCATATTTAGGCTATCTAGACAAACCGATTCTGAAGAACAACCGCATCCGAGACCGTCCTGCAGCGGCCGCTGTCGCAGCACGCACTGCTGGCGCCATTCTGAAGGCGCAAGGGGTCGAGTAGTGCCGGGCACGGCCCTCGCGCATCAGCGCAGATTTCGAGCATTTCCACCATCGCCATCGCACTGGCAGCTCGTCGAATCCGCTCGGATGCACCGTCGCCGCCGCATACTCGTTATCGTCACAAGGAAGGAGTACAGCTGGTGGTTTTCTCCAATCATATTCTTAAAGCAGGATTGGCAAGTCACGCCTAAGACATGATATGTTATAATTTGTCTCAATCCAAAGTTGCCGATTGTATCAAGGGCACTCGAGAGATAGATGACAGTTTGAACGTCCTAAGGGATGTGAAAATTTAAAGGTTCTTTAACTCTTTAACGGAATGTTGCCTTTACTGTTTCGGTTTTATACACATTGTGTTTGTTGTTTCTGTCTTGCGCTATTGTCCTCGCCTTGTCCGTGGGCTTTTACTGGCAGAGCGTCTATTTGCAGAGGAGTTGTATTGTTCACCGAGTTTTTTTCTCATCTACTGTCTATCTTGCATCAGACTTTATGCTGTCCTCGACTTAAAATTTTCGCCTATTAGAAGCCATCTTCAGACACAAGCGAGGATCGGGTTGATTAAATTTAACCATACTTTAAGCACATCTCCAACACGTGACCTGACCGTGAAGGTAGTGACCGGAGTGGCTAAATATAACTAAATCTGACCCCGATTTAATGTCTCATCCAAGTCATCTCATCGCCAACATTGTAATTCAGGACGGCAAAAGTCAGCGGTTGCATAGGAAATAGAGATTATCACATGAATACCAAGCGACCCAGGCATAGCCGAGTACCAGGAAATAAGACACGCCGAAAACACAGCAGACGGAACAAACACAAGCATCGAGGTTTCCAGCCGCTTTTCTTCATAAAAGAATACCAGTTGGAGTCAGCCGAGAATTGGTAACCTAATCTGTGAAACCTTAGGAATTTGGAGATAGCTCTGGACAGTGAATATCAGGACAGTATTCTTAAAACTCTATCGGGGCCAATCGAAATTAGACAGGGAACGCTGTCCGGAGGCGTGTGGCAGGAATTAATTATACTTCCCGGGCGGGCGAGGCTGTTGGCCTGTTATTGGTTTCTTGGGAAGGTGGCACTGCTGCATGACCTTCCAAATCAGGCTGAGCCCGCTTATCATGCGGCGGTTGTGTTGTGAGATGCTCACGTCGAAATCCCCATAGCGATATGTCTTCAAAAAAAAGCGCGAAGAATGTGAAAATACTAGTAACAAATATCAGCCTGTAGCGATAAAACTGCGAACTTCCAAAAACTAACAAAGTCAGAAAAACAAAAGTCTCAATGGTCCATTTCTGCGAGCATAAGTCGCCTGCGGGCGTACTTGTAGTGCAGATATGCTTGTCGTAGTCGAGACTCGAAAATATAAAAGCGGTAATCCACCTATTATCGTCAGGATTCAGAACACTAACATTGACAAAAGGTGTCGCACAGGTAAGAAAATCCGGCGTCAATGAAAAACCTAACTCTTTCACCGGTATGGGTTACCATTTGTCGCATTCCAGCTATATATACTCGGTCCCCGCAGCGGCATGCTATGAACGAACCTGGGATGTTTTAATGTTTATGCCTGCCCATAGGCAATTGGGCCAGTCTATAAATGGATAAAATTCCAAGCGCTCGTTGATCGGTATCGTGTTTCGTTCGAAGCAAATATGGGCCAGTCAGCTCAAGGTTTCGACACTGCCACGTCGAGAAAGAGTCAAAACGCGTGCATAGAAGGCAAAAATCATTCAATTCCGGTAAGCTAAACCAATGAGCTTAACACGTCCACACGTCCACTTATATGTCTATAATTGAGAACTCACTAACGGTATTTGCCTTGACAAAAGGACGTTGGAAGTTCACCATCTAGACCGTCGCGAATTCCACAGTCAGATGTCCAAGTCAAAGCTCGCATTGAGGTCTTCGAAACACCCCAAAATAACAGGTCTCGGAAGCCGACCGATGCCCAAAACCTTGATTTCGGGCACCAACTAAAGAAGAGGGAACGATTGGCGAATGACATATCTCCGTGCTTACGCGCAAGGATTAAAAATCGGGGTTGGGGAAAAGACTTGATATCAAAGGCCTCAAGGAAACTCAATTTTCCTGCTAGATGCGAGTATCCCAGGAAAAGACCGGCATCAGGGAGGGCCAAATGCCCAGTAAAATTCGTCAGTGACATCGGAATTGTGTCCGAAGAAGATCTGACCCAACCACAATAATGGAAAATGCTTCACAGAGTTATCGCTTGGTTACTGGAGATCACAAGTACCTCAGGTTTCCTGCCGTGATGGACTTAGGAGCCTACTAGATGTAATTAGTCGAAGTTGGAAGAGATCATGGCCATCCAATGCTGTTACCAGGACCCGTCGAGTAGATCCAGAGAATACCGTCGCCGAAACCTGACGGTGCTTTAAATCCATGCGTGAACCATTTCGTGGTAGAGCTGACGATGAAATGTAGTTCCGCCTAACTGCAGGCCGTCAGCCGCTGAGGGGTCGAGAGGTGCAGACCTAGAATGCTGCATATGGTTTTCAAGTAAGTAATTCGAGTCTGTCTTAGCACGTGTTGTCGAATAGCAATCGTGGGACAATAATCATTCTCTCCTTGAGGGGATCTCGCTGTGAGGAGGGAAGATTCCTACCTGACTTGCGAGCTACATTAGAGCTATAAGGTCTCAGGAATACAAGTCTAACCCAGATTGAGGAGGTCAGACAGGCCATTTTCGTAGTAGTTTTTGGAGTTTTTGGTCATTGTTGTCTGCCATTTTTTAACGATGGAGCGGTTGAGGATATGACTGTTGTCCCTCGCAGTAACTTCAACAACCCACATGGAACAATTTGGATCCCGTCCGTTGAAATGTAAGTCGCCCTATTTACACCTCATTAGCCGCTTGGCATCTAACGTCGCATAAGGTCATCCAAGGGTTCATCATCATGCTTGGGAAGGTTGGGTAACTCGCATTTCGGACCTTAAGCAGGGACTGAGCGAGTCACAGATAACTTACCGTTACTATTATCGGTTAGCGATCATGCCAGGCTCTTCGCGCATAGCGAAGGGCTGAGAATCTGTGATATAAGGTCTGTGCGCGATTTTCCAGAATGTCTGCATTCGTATATTAGAAACTTCCCGTGAAAACATATTTTACATCACTCTCCCAGAACAAACTAGACCAAATCCAGGAAACGGGAGCTGAAAACGTTAATACAATAATTACGTATTTTATTTACTCATATAAGTTAGCTAGAAATTGTCACTATAAAAAGGTATTGGCAGTGATCGGGGATATCCAGAGACTCACAAATCGTTAGCCCAGCTAGCAGACTACGATATGAGATTGGCGGCGCTCATGCATATCTTGTTCAATTGTTTGCCTTCTGATATCTCGCAAGCGTCTAGCCTTCTCTCCCATTCCTCTCTAGTCAGGGGGCTTTTTTTCTTTCCTATGGTATCCACGTCGAAACTGTTCTGCGACGAGGTTGCCCTGGAAAAAAAGCCGTTGATCAATGTCGATTACCTCTCGCACATATGGAGAGAAGAGGATATTTGGGTGACCAGGAGGTTTGTGCTCAGGGAAAAAGTGTCCTGAAGAACAACACTAGACTTGAGAATGCACTCTGGAGGACACGGACAAAGTGCCAACAGCAGCTGAACATTGTACCATCCGACAGGGTGGACTGGTTAGTCAAACGCTGAAAAGACAGGATTGCGCGAGGTCAACCCAGTTTTAGCAATCTGTCGTTAGGGCGAAGGATAGCGACGTTACCTGGCTTTATGGTCCCTGGAAGTCAACTGGGCGGTCACCTACTGCACGTGCCGCGGCATCACAGAGACCTTACGAAAGCTTGCAGCCACCACCTACCACAAGACCATCGCTGAAGAGGGCGTCGTCCTCCGTACCCTGCACAACATTGGCAGCTCACAACCAACTAACGGTCCACTTGACTCTGGGGAAGACGGTTCCAAAACCAGTGGCGACCAGGCATGGATCAGATTGTCATGTGCGTCCGCTGTCCGCTACAGAGAGTGGCCCACGTGTACCCAGTTGCTGTCGACTAACCGCAAGAGGGTACATTTTGACCCAGAGGTTCGGCAGTCTAAATATGTTCGGGCCCATTACCGGGGGAGATACTGCGCTTAGAAAAGTCTTGGCAAAGGAGGGGGGGGGGGACTGAGTAAACACGATACGTGACTACAGGTCAGTGCACCTAGGGTCGGAGGTCGCTGCACCTAGGCACGTGACGGTATGCAAACACCTACAAACAAAATTTCACTTTCTGTTGCAAAGCTTTTCGCCTTACATTACCTTACATTCTCTATCCACTAATTTTTTCTTCAATTTACCATACCTTACCCTTTACATTATTTCACTATGCAATGTGATTCCGAGAGACAACTAAGACAATAGACTAGTTATTAACTAGTTCTCTACCACTCTTTAAAAGCTCTAGCTCTACTTTCAGTTTCTGATTTTCTAATTCCAACTTTTCCCTCCTTAATCGCCGTTCCTCTATATCATCCTCTATCTCTTGGTGCCTTCGCTTAAGCTCAAGGCTTTTAAGCTCAGTATATTGATCGTCATTAGACGCATTTACCGTAGCAGTGCGACGGGGATTGAATCCGCTTGGCTCAGGGCTTGCGGGGGTTCTATAAATTAGTTAGCAACTAGTAGGTAACTAGTTAAGGGCACGTACTGAGAACGACTTTGAGAGCGATTTAGCGTAGATACTCTAGATCTTGACCCTCTCGGTGTCTTTGACCTATACCGACCAACGATAAAACCTGAAGAGGAGGCCTCCCAGAGAATCTGATCGTCGATATCATCTTGGTCCTTTTGCGCTTTGTCTCGATCGTTCTGCTCTTTTTCCGCTTTTAGTCTTTTCCGCTCTTCGCGCTGTATACTATTACTGAAACGAGTCTCCATATTATTAGCGTGATAGCCATGATGGATACCAAATCTCTCTCGAATAGAGAATTGATCGATGTCTCGCTGATCAAGGAATCGTGACCTTATAACTAGTTAGAGGCTAGTTTCTAACTAGTTATATTGAACTTACTTCATCACTGCACCTAAAAGAGTGTCGTAAACCCCGAGAAAGTACGATTTCCAATGGCTTTGCTCAACAGCATTCGTATAAGGCCGAAATCTCTGAAAGAATTCAGGGTTTATACCCGAGCAAGCCTGACATAAACTAGCAGCAATTACTGGATGTCTCTTATGCTGAACCCAGCCTCGTAGGTTTGGGTCGTGGTCTAGATAACTAGTTAGTAACTAGTATTTGACTAGTTAATATTTTTACTTGCCCACAATCAAGTTAAGCAACGTGTGATAATCGCTTAAGGATTGACAGGAAAGTAGATCAGTTAAGCGTCGGCGGGCATCAATATGAGAGCCATCTAGCCTATTAGGGTATATCTTGACTACCGTTCGTATAAAATGGATAGTACAGAATATCATAATATAAGTTAGCTGCCAGTTTCGAGGACGTCTGTAGGGGTCTTGGTCTTAGAGGAAATCTCCTAAACCTTAATTAGTTGTAACTAGTTAGAGAGTAATTTGTAACTAGTTAGAATAATAACTCACCACACATCTGATTTGGACACATATCACTAACTATAGCCTTGATACCTTCACCATGAATGGAAAAGAACTTGATGGGTCTCTGAATAGCCTGGGACACTAGTTCAAACACTCGTTGAAAGATGAACTTATATGCCGTAGGGTTTTCCTGGTCCGTGAAGACACGGAATAGTGTCATAACTAGAGAACTAGTTAATAAGTAATTAAAGACTAGTCAAATAGACTTTCACGTACTCTTTCCATAGTCTAGTAGCATCGTAGCAAAAATGACCTCGTTCATCACCCCTTTCACCCGTTTGTAAGACATATCAACTTCAATAGCGTCAAGAGATGCGAGAAATACCATCTGTGCATAGAATGCACAAAAGATATATGTCCCATGGGTAGTGTGGTAGGTTTCGCGGACGTATTGCTAAGTAGAACTAGTTAGAAACTAGTTTCAATCTAGTAGTAAATTAGTTAATACTATACCTTCAATGCTGGATCAACTCGAACTTGATGACGGACACCAGCTAGATTTTTTCCCTAATAGGTAGTGTAACGCTCGCTGTTTCCAAATCATAGCTACAATTTTATCACTCTTAGCGAAGCTAGAGTGAATCTGAGATAGCGTAAGACATTGCTTTTTCTCGCAGAATTCGCGGAGCGCAGGACTTCGAAGAAATGTGCCTTAAAATTTAGTTAATAACTAGTTATTAACTAGTTGTATTTCATTATACTCACTTAGTGTTAGGTCCGGGTTCATATTCCTACAAATAACATCAAGAACTTCGCTTGCAATTGACTATAGAGCTTTCGTAGGTGGTGGCGGTGGATGATTATGGACCCCACGTGAGTAGAAGATAGCATATAGGTGAGACCTTATATCGTATGGGATAAAGGTGTAGAAAACGACGTCGCACGTGCCATAATCTTGGATAGAGCCTTGGCCCTGAGGATGGATCATTCCTATTACTAGTTAGAAACTAGCTATATAGTAGTTGATAACTAGTTCTTGCCGCATCTTGTCCTTCGAGAGTTCTGTGGCTCGATAACACCGTATATTTTCGAGCTTGCTTCAAAGGTGGTACTTAAGAGACTCTTAAGAAGCGGTATATCTATCGAGTTCTCTTTCGCAACTAGAGACTGATGGAAATGCTTTTTATGATTCTCCTAGGTTGCGTTGAAACACCCAACATAATAGCTAGTAACACCACTAATGTTCTAGTAACTAGTTAATAAATAGTTTGGCACTAGTATTCGTAAAATGAGCGAGCTTACCTGCTTGTCGTACGTGCCAAAGGTAGGCCGACAACTTTCAGTTTGCGCTTTACAAGCTCTCTCTGTAGTAAACTTCCCCTGGATCGCATAGTATAGACTAGTAAAGTATTAGTGATATCGATTATAGCGTAGAACTAGTCTTTAACTAGTTCTTAATTAGTTTACCTACGCTGTACTTGCGCGCTGAAGTAGCCCAAAATCCTCGGTGTGCTCTATCCGTCGCCTAGCTTGAGCGATCTTAGTGAAAAGCGCCTCATCCGCGTAAAGATGACCCATTCTAGCAAGCTCTAGGTCAAGGAACTCGCAGCGCTTAATACTAGAGCATATATATCGTTTTTTCTCTGTTGGGCAGCTAAGATACGTATTAAAAACGTTTGATGTTGCACCTTTGCCTTTAAACGAGTACTGGATCTATACCGGCTATCTAGTTAGTAACCAGTTAATAACTAGTTTAAAGGCGACCCCTACCGATTTAAGTGTGTCTTTCGCCTAGTGGGGCTTAATATTTTCGAGGTTCACCACGTATGCGTACCCAGCGTTATGCGTTTGTGGATACTCAGGTAGCAAGGCCACATGCTCAATAAATGCTGCTGATATAGCATGTGTTGATCGATCTGTTAAGGGCATTGGAAGAGGGTCAGGGTGCTAGAGAAATAGTTAGAAACTAGTTGGTGAAGAGTTGTATATTGTCAATGCAGATATATATTTACGTCGTTTGGGTCTGGAATCGATGCGTGACGATCTTGGAGATCACCCTGCTCCCCGAATTCAAAGGCGTCGTCGGTCGGTTCAGGTGTAGGGTCAAAACGTATAAAATCATGGATCATCCGATGCTCATAGTCCTTCCAGATAGGTTGATTACTATTCGCCATAGTGATAGTAGTGATAGTGAGGAATAGAAAACAAGCCAAAACAAATACAGTACAGTGGTGTAACGTAAGTATTTGACCTCGAGTACTTCGGCCTAGGACCCACTTTTCTAATACTGCCAGGCAGAAACCTCTGAAATTCAATTCAGTCTAATAGCTAGTATGCCACCCCTCATACTTAATAACATCAGCTACCCTGTGAGGCATAGTTTCTGATAGATGCTTGAATAATTCAATATCTAGGCCTTCCCAGGCTTCCTGTGCAGCTTTTAGCAATAGATCTAACGTAGATTCGTTGTTCGGTAGGCGCATTAGCTCAGGATAACGCTTAAGAATTTCGGCTTTTAGCAGCGCCCAGAGGTTCTCGATCGGGTTTAAATCAGGTGAATAAGGAGGCCATTCCATAATCTCGCAGTTAAGCTCATTAAGAGCTTCCCGTACAATATATGCAGTATGAACGGGCGCGTTATCTTGCTGAAAAATAGCATTATTATCAATACTATTAAGTAGCGTAGGTAAGATACGCCGATAGAGCTCTTCAATCGTACGTGAAGAAACACCACCTCTTCTAGACGTAGGATCTCCGAATAATGGAATTAGGCCTGATCGACGCGGTAAGCCAGAGAAAGCAGCCCAAAACATCTGCTTAATTTGCTTCCCTCGCGCCGGAACCATCTGAACCTGAGAGCCTTCTTTTGAATGCTGAAAAAGCTGGTCTTTTGGACGTGTAAACGTCCATTCTTGCCGCTGGCCTATTCCACGTTCAACTGTACATTCGTCTGACCAGTAGACGCGGGCCCAGTCTTCAGGAGTGAAGTGTTGGTATTCGAGTGCCCATTGAAGCCGTTTCGTAGCATGTTCAGGCGTAAGTGCCGGACGCTGCATTTTCCTCCATTTTCGAAGACCCATTTCGTGGGTTAGACGCCAAATTGACTGGCGATGGACCTTAAAATCGACCTCTCTAAGTAGATCTTTAATCAATATCGATGGCTTTTCTTGTATAGTGTCGTAGATATAGTCACGATCCTCTTCAGTAAGCTTCCTTGGAGCGCCTAAGCGTGGAAGGCTTTCTTGTTTTTGACGCTTTGCCTCTTGGGTAAGGGTATATTGAATTGTTGAGCGTGGAATATCGGGAAAGCGCATCTTCTTAATGGTTGTTGCACCCCAGCCATTTGTAGCGTGTAATTCGCAGATCTTGGCCCTAGTAAGGCAGTCAAGCTCTGGGCCTCTCTTCCCACGTATAGGAGGCATAATAAGGTAAGAAAGACTGCTATAACGCGTTAACTGTAGCGTATATGTTAGCAAGCGCGTTGAAACGCGAGGTGTGGTGTACTAATAAAGTAGGCGGTATAATAAAGCGGTCAGGCTAAAAGTGGATCCTAAAGTACTCGAGGTCAAATACTTTTGTTACACCACTGTATGTAGGTAAAATACCTTGTTACCATGGCATACAATGATTAGTAAGTAGGAATGCGAGATGGGTGCAGTGAGCTCAGAAAAGAAAAGTGGGGCTAGGTGTAGCGAGCTTTCGGCCTAGGTGTAGTGACCTGTAATCTGACACGATACCCCTGTTGGAAATTGGAGCCCTCATCCTAAGGCGCCAATATCGGTCGGCATCTCTCTGCCCCGATGGCTGCTGATTGGTCAGCTAGGCCCATGAGGTTATTGAAATTGGGCGCCCGTATATGCGGGTTTCCTCATCTATATCACCTTCTTTGCTTCTTTTCAGGGGGTTCTCTCATGGACGCCGGGTAGCGGTGTAGGAGAACATTTTTGTATGTATTTCCCTTAGAAAACAGTTCTCAGGAGAAGGATATAAATATCCCCCTGAGAATGAGCAGAAAAGATTATCAGAATTTACAATCAATTATCTGTCCATCCTCTTTTCGTCTGATCATCTATCCCTTCATTTCTCAACATATTCCAACAACGGTTCTCCTATAGACACCATTAGCCCGTGTCCGAATAGCTATTGCAGCCGGGGGAATGGCGACCCCCCGACCTCCCTCCTCCCCCGCAACCCCTGATTATGTTCGCCAACTTGCATAGTCGTTCCAGATTGTCCAGCAGACGTATTTCCACGAAGAGTGTTTTTTTAAGGGGCCGACAGGCCCAACCGAGTGGGTTGTCAGGCTATTCGAGTGGAGTAGGCTCGATCGCTATAGGTTTGGAGCGCCGTTATCAATGTGTCAGGCATATAGGTGCCCGAGCGCCCTAAGTCGGGGCGGAATTGCAAGGGACGTGTTGTGCCACCGAAACGGTAGCTGCTGCCCTGACTCGAGGGAACCAGCCACTTAAAGTATATTAGAGATCAACTTGGTCGGGCTTCATAACGCCAACCCAGTGTAGCGAAGCACCAAGAAGTAGTCAGAATGAAATTTAAGACTGGCTAACGGAAACTGCTTCCTTCCTTTTCTTTGTATCTGGATCCAAGGCTTTTGCTACCGCTGGTCCAAAATACGGCAAGCATTCTGTATTACGCTTACCGCACTAGGCCTGATATTGAAACCGCCCGGGCCGCTCAGGGTAGGGAGAAGGTGGGTCCAAATAGCAGACCCCTTCCCGAAATACAAGTAACCCTTCCTGAAAGAGAGTCCTTCCTATTATAGAAACTCACTAATGAGTTGCTCCACAGTCCGACTTCCAGCTAGGTGGTTCCAAAGTACCCATGGATGATCCGTACGACGCAACCGTTAAAATGCAAATACAATGCAAATCGAACAATGGATTTCAGTGAGGTAATTACCACGAAATAATTTCGTAGGTGGGTGCCTACTCGCCGCCTCTAGGGCTCTTGTTATCCCTGTTAGAGCTCGATGCCCGGTTGATACTCCTACTATCCTTCTTGTAAAGTACTTTCGCGGATCTTTCCATGGATATTGAGGGAGGCTTCTTTAACCTAGCATTTGAAGCCGGTGATGCACAAACAGAGACTACATTCTCATCATCAATCTAGTTCGATTTTGTCACGGCCAGCGAGTTCGCTCAAGGAAAAATAAATTCCGCAGCTTCCGGTGAGATTCTGATTATTTGACCGTTCTAGATGACAAGCCAAGACAAACATACCATTCTCCACAGGCTTTCCTGCACAATAAACTCATGAGACACGACACCGAGTGAACATCGTTCTAACCTGGCATCTCGGTCGGCGTTATCGCCGAGATCTTCCTTGTCACTTTCAAACCAATCTAAATAGGCTGCGCATTCCCCACCGCCGAATCGGTCGACCTAGTACTAGACTGCGCCATAACCCGCAATGCGGGTCAAGACCTTCAACCCGCACCCGAACCCGACCCAGCGGGTTACAAATTTAGATTTGAAAACCCGCAAATAACCCATCTTGACCCGAATTTACATAAAATCCTGGTCTTGGCGTGTATAATTCGGCTGATTCATCTTAATTAAATACTGTTATTTACATATGTTCTAGTCATAGTCCTCCTAAGTTATTGACTTTGGCTCTAATCACTTGAAATAAAATGAAATTCCTCTGTATATTAATTAATTAATATCAGTAATTAGTTATTTACATATATTTAGTAGGATCCGTCTAAAGGGTTACGGTGGAAGCGTGAGAATGTTAGAATGGCCTTTCTATTCTATAGAAATATATATCTGACATAAAATAAAGGTGGTGTACCTTTTGGAGGAAACGTCTTGCTTTTATTATTTTATCTTATATACACCTTCAATTTTATTATTTCCTATTAAATTAGTCCTTATGCTTTGTTATATTATAAATATAAGTCTATTCGTAATTTATTTAGGTGTGGTGTCTATAAAATAGGATTAAACGTAGTAAGTCAGAATCAAGTTGTAAAATTTTGACGGCCAAATGTGCTTTCGCGGGTTGGGCATGGGTTATGCGCGGTTCTAGATGGGTTCTGTGGGTTATGTGCGGGTTCTGGATGGGTTTTGCGGGTTATCGGTGGGTTTCGTGGGTTTCGTGGGTTTTGAATGGGTTCTGCGGGTTATACTCCACTTAATATTCCTACTATCCACCAATTATAGGACTCTTCTAGTCTAAGATAGTAATAAAATGATGAGTCTACTACATCTAGCGCTTGACTTCTACAAATGTCCTTCAGTAAGTCTTCACTTCTACTCTCACTTATCCCTTACTGTTCCCCTACCTCGTGATATTATGTCTCAAAGTCAGAATTCTGATATATTTTTGTCATCTCTCTATGATGATACAGACAGTGTTCCGTACCTCGCATCGGATCCCCCACAGCTATTTACCCCTGAGCCTTCTAGCAGTCAGCGAACATTCGACCCTTTTGATCAAGACTTTATCCGGCCGCAGCCTCGCCTATTAATTCCATCCGCTTTAAAGCGCGTTGGCCCTGATCGAAGAAAGAACTACGTGCTTTACGATCGTATAATGCATACTGAGTGGGTGGACTGGTGGATTGAGACTGACTATAGAAAGACTAGCAAAATCCGCTGGGATGCTAGCCATTCAGCGGACTCATAGCAGCACTTTAATCAAGTAGCAGAGAGTTCTAATGGCCAGCCTAAGGTTATGTACAAGCGCTGCGGTCTAATCCTTGAGCATCCATCTTCCACTAGGACTCCTAGTGGCACGAATCGACATAGTACATCTACGTTGATAAAGCATCTTCACACCACCGTATGTCAACAGCGCGCGAGGAATATTCAACAAGGGGCTAGTATTACTAGATTTCTACAGGATACAGTGAGTTCTATTATATTTAAAGATATAACCTTAGAAATCGCTAATAAATATAATACTTTGAATAGAAGTATACCTAACCTATAAATAAACGGTTCACCCAAGAGGCCTAGGAAGAGAAGCTACTCACCTTCCTTACGGTCGCACGTCTTCCCTTTTGGCTTATTGAGCATCCTGAGTTCCATAACCTAATTCAAATGGCTCAACGCGCCCCTTCTAGCCTTGAGATCCCTTCCGCAAAGACTATTCGTCGTCGCCTACAAACCATAGTGAAGGAACGGCACCAAAGCATCCTACGAAAGCTCCCTAGTTATGCAAAGATATCAATCGCCCTTAATTATTGGATGTCTCCTTTTTCTCAAGCATTTATAGCCATCACTAGCTATTTTATCGACGAAGATTAGTAGTATTAAGGGGTTCTACTTAGCTTTCAACCACTTTCCGGAACGCACTCTAATAAGAACCTCAGCGCTATACTCCTAGATATGCTTGTGCAGCATTAGATTTAGGACCGGGTACTTGTAATAACGGCCGATAATGCATCGAATAATAATACCTTGGTTAATGCCTTATAGCAGTCGCTATCGGATACAACCACTATTATTCGAGTTCCGTGCCTCGCACACGTTATCTAACTAAGCTTGAATGAGCTACTTAGGTAGATAAAAGCCGAGCCTACGAATAATACAACTGAGATACGTTAGACGACTGAGCGGTCTCAGCTTGCCTATACGAATGCAAAGATAAAGAAGCGGGATATTACTCGGACATTGAATAAGGTAAATAACTCTCACTTTTCTCTCACTTCTCTCACTATACTAATCATCTATCTTAAATAGGTTCGCAACCTTGCGATCTATATCAATGCAAGCCCTCAGCGCCGTGATGCATTTTCTAAGCTCCAGACTGAAGCAACTAAGCTTGTGCCCTTGCAGGATGTCAAAACACGCTGGAACTCCACATTTCTAATGCTTCGACGAGCAAAGCGGCTCCGATCGATATTTGATCCCTTTTGTATTGAATATGATCGGACTGACCTAGTGCTTGATGCAGATGAATGGCGTCAGATTGACTACCTTCTATGGATCACGCAGCCATTCTTTGATTTTACCCTTGAGCTATCAAAGACAAAGGACGCTACCACTCATCATGTGTTTCGAATTTACAACAAGCTTTTTGAACACCTTGAGCGGTCAATGGACCAGCTTACACGGAAAAAAGTTCCCTGGAAAAAGACAATGCGCAAGGCGCTTAAGGCTGCGCGTGAGAAGCTCGCTAGCTATTATCAGCAGACGGACACAATCCAAGGGGATCTTTATGCGGTTGGAACAATGCTCGCGCCAGTAAATAAGTTTCAGTTCTTTGTTACAAATGATTGGGACGATCAATGGCGCGATCAATATCGAAAGAGCTTTAAGACGGCTCTATCTCCATACCAAAAGCGTCTTTGTTCTCAGCAAAGCCTCCCTATCTCTCAGGCGTCAACCCGAGTAGGCTCACGTCTTGATTTAATGCTCAGTGGAAGCAAACGCCAACCATCGTCGCCCAAGGACGAGGTAGTTCAATATCTTGATAGCGGTATGTCTTTTTATCTTCTCTTGCTTTCTCCTCTTCCTAATCAATAATAGATACTATTGATATCTCACCCCTCCCATTTTGGAAGGAGAATCAACACCGCTTTCCAGCTATTGCTGCCCTTGCCCAGGATACCCTTTCAATCCCAGCAACTGGTGCTGGAGTTGAACGTCTATTCAATACGGCGCGGGATGTCTGTCATTATCGCCGAGGACGCTTGAATAGCACAACAATCCAGGAACTAATGATGTATCTTTGTACATCAAGGTTCGACCTCCAGGAAGACTCTTTTACATTTTTGAAAGAGTTTTTCACTCTTGATGAAATTGAAGCGGGCAAAGAAGAAGAGAGAGAGTACACGCCTGATCAGTTTGAGCTAGATCCAATTAGTGATAATGAAGAACAGGATACACAAGAGGGCGAGGATCAGGACGAAGAGGAGCTTCCGCAGCCAGATAATGGTGATAACGATGAGGTAGATCTCCCTCAATTAGAAAGCACTCAGGCACGCCGCGCATCTGAAAGATCGCGCAAGCGTCCTCGGCAGGAGGATGAGCAATGGGCATATCATTAGTGATCAATATTATAAACTAATTGAACCTCAATTTCTGACGGCCGTCAAAAAAGCCAGTACCACAGCTTAATAACCCTATTTTCTGACGGCCGTCAGAAAATTAGTGCTATAGCTTCAGGAATTCATTAGCCCTACATCACACACTATAGTCATAGAAAGAGGCCTTTCTTGTAAGTCAAATACCTAAAAATACAGACTAATACTTCATAAATAATGCTAAGATGAGGACCCACCTAAATGGGTTGGGTTCGGGTTGGCGCGGGTTTTGGCGCAGTCTACCTAGTACTAGCCAAAGTATCTATGACCGGCATTGCAAGGTACGGAGATTCACTTCGCGCATCTCCTTGGTCATTTTCGCCAGCTTGTAGTTCATCTTTAGTCTTTTACAGTAGTACACTCCGCTTTAGCGTTGGGGGATTTGACCGTTCGAGCGGTGTATGCGGGTGCTAGCGTTATTTTCAGCTTATTATTCAAAATCGGCCGCACCTGATGCGGATAATTCTAGACTTACAACGCGCATCGTGCGTTGATTAATTCTGTGGCATCCACGGCTCCATAATAATTTCGGTTTTCTACGCGAGAAGCATGCCAAAGAGAAATCTCTGAAAGGAGATGGCAGACCCACCTTGGTAGTTTGGTTAGTAAAATGGACGATTTTCTGTGTGGTTCACTGCTCTTCTCGTTACGTTTCCACTGAGATTTTGGAGGCTATTTCCAGCTAGAGCCTTTTCACTCTCCTTTGTAAACGATAGATGCAGTCTATATAGGTGTCCGCGCGACCGACGTAGGCAATTCACCCCTTCGTCGTCCGTAGGTTTTTTAACTCTGTTATCCATGCTACCGGTAAAACAAACTTTATCTTCCCTCTTTCGTGGTAGCTACACCCATCAAGAATGACTGTGGTAGGAAGTGCTAACTGTAGCAAGTCACCTGTAGGCTAATGTCTAAAGAAGTAGAGAGAAAAGTAGGAAGGATGTAGTTATGTAAACAAGCATGTCAATCGATCATGTTTATTGTTACGCCTTTGTATTGTCCTAGGAACACTAGCAGTCGATTGATCACCGTGGGCCGGCCAGTAACTTCCCGCCTGCTATGCAGCAACGATAACTCGTTATATAAAAAATGGCCGTAACGGCCGAAAACGTGCTCCTATAAGCCGCTATAGGAGCTGAGATTTCTAGAAAAGCACAGTGAAAATGGAAAACCCCTTATAGCTACCGTGGATTGCATGTAGAGAATTAGACTTCAGAATCTAGCAGACTGTTGCAACTCGACGGCTCGAAAACCTAGGGCGTTAGTAGTTGGCACTCTAATACGACTTTAGCAAGCGACTAACATTGTGTCGGAAGTGAGAATTCCCGTATACACTAGCATTGAATGCATACAACGATGCCGAATCGAAGGTCACGAAGTGTCCAATTATGAACCTATCTAAAGTACCCCTTTTCATGAGATGACCTTTGGCAATATGCTTACTCAACCATGTGTGCCAGAAGACGGTGTGTGGAAAATGAAATCCTTGGCGTACTGCGGCTTACACTGCCTCTGTCGGTTGTCCGGAGACCTATGTATACCACCGAATCTCTCCATGAGCGGTTAAATTGACTTCGGTCGAATAATAGCCTTTGGTGGCCGGGGAACATACCCATTTACATAAGAGGCGCAATGAGCCCCGCAGGGTTGCCTTTTTCCAAGCCTAACTCCCTCTATGGTATTATCCCTTGCTAGCCGTTTCCCTTAGCTACCAGAATAATGATAGCTAGAATGCGATGAAGGAGCACCAGCGTCTAGTGGATTTGGCCATGTGGCCGGAGTAAGAAAAGGACTCAGTCAGACATTGGTAGGAAGCGTGGACCCAATCGCCTCTCCTGGGGTTATCGGCCGTCTATCGTACGCCCACGGCTTCTATTACGAACTAGCGCAAGGCCTATTTGAAAGGACTACAACGAGGGTTGACTAGGCGAACGCACCGAAGAATTTGGCATTGTTTCCTTTCGTTTCGGGGAATGTAATAGACATGGCAATCTCAAACTCTTTTCGGGCTTGCGGGGCCCACGCCTTGCAGAACGTTTTGACACATTCTCGATACGTTGGGAACTCAGTTCAATGGAGGACAAGATGAAATGTCCTTGGCAAGGCGACTTTTGGCATCAACTATAGTAGAGGGGCCTCTGGTTTCCCCGTTCGGTTTACCGTTCGGTTTTACACCAAGTGCCTTAGATGCTATGCGAGCCGCTCGTCCTGACATTGCCAGTGCTTCAGGGCCTCGTTACGTAGTTCCGAGAGTACGGAGCGCAGTTGATATGTATTTGCGAGCAGCTTTCGGTGCAGGGCGGACTGCTCTTCGAATTTTAACTTGAGCTGTTCGTTCTGGAATTTACGCTTTTCACGGAATCTCTTGGCGGCGTTGCGGTTGCGTTTTAAGCATTCATCGCGGTTTGATGTAGACTTCGTAGAGACGCGGGTCCCGATCGCTGTTCTGGCGTCTTCACACGATTTTGATTTGGACAGGGGCCTCGCCGCGGCCTCCGTCTTTTTGTGCTTGGTGCTGGGAGTATAGGCATCGGCATATTGACTCCCGCTAAGCGTTGAGCTCGCCCAATTCGGAGACGTAAGAGGCTTGAAAGCCACAAGGCTAGATTTTTGGATGTCGTTTCCCAGTAAGACTGGGGAACAGGAACGTTGTGCGAAAGTAATATCGTCGTCAAAATGGAAGACGCCCAGTGCCTGTACGGCGTGCAGCTCGGAATTAGATCGAAAACCGCAGCCTTCTCTAAGAAGAGTGGAGCGCGATGGTATTGGTGATATTGGCGTAGGAGCTATGAATGTTTCCTCGAGGAAACTGTCGAGTGGAAAAGGGTGCTTCATCCCATCCCTCATAAGATGTCCAGCTAATCCTTTTGAACTAGCCATTGCTGGCCAAGTCAGCGGCGCGTTGTCCACTTGGAGATTATACTAAACTCTCTTTTTATTAATATAGTCTCACTAGTAAGGGACTGTAGCAACTTATGTACAAGGGATTAGCCCCGAAACATAGACGTAACCCCTTCATATATATATCCAGTTTACTGTCCCAGTACGTTTAGGTAGATATCCGGATGCATTATGGAGCAAACAGAGCATCTGACTCGGCCAAAGGATTATCCCGGGACATTCCACAACCACTGTCCAAAATATCAGGCCTTCATTATTAAGTGGAATGCTGCGCGCGATTTATCTTAGGGCCGTGACGACCTCTCATTGCTGCTCCACTATTGCCGTGCTCGATTGGTGTCTCCGTTTCTGAATTACCTTCCACTTGCGGTGGTTCCAATCGATCTATCCTCGTCAACCATCATACCGCTTGTGTAGTAACGTCAATTTCGGCAACAAGACCGCAACGAGCAGGCTTTTTTCCGGCCCGGAAAACAAAGCCCGTTTACTATCACGAGATAGGTCCACCTATCCTGTTCTAGACCCTCGAAAGGATATTCAGGATCAAATAGGTGGACGATAGTCCCTGACGCCATTCAAGCGGACAATACGTCTAGCGGGAAATTCAGCAAGGGATGCTTCTGCGAGTTAGAACAAACTTCCGTAGTTGTTCGCAGGCCACTGTTGATGCCAATTTGTCATTCCAATATATGTAAGGGAGATTGTAAACAATTGTATGCTGAGCAGTCGGAAATATGACACATCAAGTACTTGGTGCACTTTATCTTTAATGACAGCGGGGCTTTCGTATTTACACTAAATCCCACGCTTAGCTTCTGTCAAATAGACCCTGCATGATTCTAATGTAGATTGTCTATATTTGCTCAGCGATTCGTGTGGGGGGTGCGCCTAGGTTTGCTAAATTTTGGTGGCACATCAATTAGTACACCTACAGCAAAGGCTTTAATTTCAGCATCCATAATTTGAGTCGTTAAATTCCAACTACCTAGACTGTGCCCTGTTATATTCAGTAATCAATCGATATTTACCTAGTTAGAAAAAGTATAACCTAAAGAATGGGCAGACTTGTATTCCTAGTTCCCTTCGTTACAGGCGAAGTGCTTTACTAATGGGATGCCAATTTGTCCAAATAGCTGTATTTCATGTTACACAGTAAAATAATATTTTTTGAGTCAAAATGTAGGTCAGTGTAAATGATTTCCTATGCTGGCAACGGTACTATACCCATAACCGATAAAATGAGTTGTGGTGGTTGAAATATGAGGTAATAATGATTTTTTTGCTACGGGGGTGTTTTGGGGACGTTTTGGAGTTGTTTTGGGCTGACGCACTTGCTTGTGGACTATGTTGCTTAACTAACTTCGTACTGCAATGACAAATACAAGTTAAGTGTGAGTGGGGGTAGGACCGTATTATCGTTCAGTTATAAGGAAATGAAAGTGGCAAGTCTTACTCATAAGCGACACGTGATTGACTGAAGTATTTACGGACTTGACCCTTACCTATAGGGCCAGTATTAGGTGCGACTGGATCCAAATTAGAGGTTTTCTGATAGACAGAAAAAGGGGACAATCATTAGTAGTATTCGAAAGCTCTGTCTGTGGAAGTGGCTGGAGGTCGGGGCATTTGAAACGCGGTCTTTTGTTTGACCTCTTGGGGCGGAGATTTATATGATTGATAGTTTTCAGATAAAGCTTTCTTTGGACAGTATCGAACAGTAATAGAATATGTGCCGCTATATATTGGTGGTCTCCGTCCCATGGCTACCTGGCCAATGCAGGAATATTGGGGCCTTCGGCTTTCCAACGAGAAATAAACTACACCTAACTCCCTGAATGTGGAGTACGCAAGCGAACGTTAATATATAGAATCGGGACCGGGTCGTGCGTGGTTGTTGTGGCAGAAAGGTCTCAAAGGACCGTTCCCCGATTCGCTTCCAGCCTCTATCTCAATGTTCATTCGTTGCCAACCTTCGCCAAAAGCTACGGTTTGCGGTAGGAAAGAGCAACAAAGTAGAGCAAGGTAGGAGTTTGATACTAGCACCAAATCCCTAAAGGTATCCAGGATATGCATAGCCATTCATTCACAACCCTCTAGGCGTTTTCCGCCTTTCAGGGGTCGAACTTGCCAAGTCTTCCAGGCTCAGGCCCAGATTCTGCGGGCGAGTATTATGTTTTAGATACTACTAGGTCACCGTCACGAGGGATGCTTGCAGCGAGGTGCTATTATTAAGATACTTCAGTGTATTCCTCTCCGGATCAGATGGATATTTAGCATATACGACATTGACGCTCCAGACGGCTAGTTCAATCTGATTCTCAACATACACATTCCTATTTCATAGGGAGTGCGAGGAATTCTTAGCATAATCACTGCGGGTTTTGCTAAACAATGTCTCCCACCGAGAGTCTTCCATCACCAGGCGTTTCTCCTTCGGTATCAGAGATTTCTCTTTGGCATACCCAAGGCGCGTAGTAAAACAGAGCTTCTTACGAATCTTTGATACTAGAGAGGTAGTTGAGGTTTGTCGCTCTTTGCGATTTGCACGTTCGCATGGCGAAATATCATCCCTATAAGATCGCTTGCTGCAGTTGGGTTCGTTCGTAGGTGAAAGCCAGAGGCTCGACTCATCGGTTGCGCCAGAACATCTCTTATTTACGACCGCGCTGGCTTGGGTCTGGGGAGGCGTTGACGGTTCTGGTAGGGGTGACGGGTGGTCCTTGTTTCATTCGTTAGCTTTATCCCCGGTCGCTGTGTAGAACACCAATAATTACACATCGAGGATAATTCTGGTGACTTCGGAGCCTCCAATGGGTAGCTCCTGCTTTTTGGTTGGACATTCGGAAGATAAGAAGAGTGAACTTTCCACTTAAAGAACATCATAAGGGGTTATACTAGGTACCTCATCCTGTTCTTATACCGAGGCGTTCACATTACACTAGGCTGTTGTGTGTATATTTGCTGAGAAATGCCGGACAGGGATACAGGAGAATAAAATGACATCACATGCCTCAGTGCTATGACACTGACCACTCAAGTAAGGGACTATAATAGCCTTTTGCGCTATATGCAACAGTGTGCCTTTCATCACTGATTTAGCTAGGACTCTATGCAAACCCTCGTAAAGGGTAGTACACACGCAACCAGCAACTTGGCAGTCGTAATTCTCCCCTTAACACCGTTATCGGCGTAGCTCTTAGCTTCTCACCCCTAGGCAAGTGGTTGCGAAGAATTGGACAAGCATAGTAGGGTAATTATGAGACATTTTTCTGTAGCTCCTACCTAGGTGCTAACAACACCAATATTTTGCCCTCCGCACGATGAGTCATTGGGGCCTAGCCATAGTTATCAACACCCTAATCGTCTACGAATATAGGAGATCTCGGGATTCATTACCATTAAACATGTATTACCTCTCAACTATGTATAGTATGAGTCCCACGTAAGTCATATACAGCATGCTATTGGGTGATCACTCACTCCAACCGATGGAAGCTCAGAGCTTCCCCCACAAAGCTTTCGCCTGATTCGATCCGGATGACGCAGATACATCCTCCCGACAACCAGGTATCCCCCCACATACCTCTGTTTTCTTGGGTTTCTCGTACCTGAAGCCCTTGGCAGGGCTCGCAGGTAAGTCAAACTAGACTGCGCCAAAGCCCATACATGGGCCCTAAACTGAAAGCCCAACCCAACCCACGGCCCACGATGGGCCGAAACCTTCGGCCCATTTAGGCCCATTTAGGCCCATTATTGCATAAATTCTAGGTATTAGTGTACATTAATACGCTTATAAATAATGCATTTGTATTCTCTGTTGAGAAAGAAAGGGGTAGATGATCAGACGAAAAGAAGATGGACCGGTAATTGATGGTAAATTCTGATAATATTTTCTGCTCATTCTCAGGGGGATATTTATATCCTTTTCCTGAGAACTGTTTTCTAAGGAAAATGCATACAAACATGTTCTCCTACACCGCTGCTCGGTGGTCCATGAAAGAACATCCTCTGGAACAAGCAAAGAAGGTGATATAGATGAGAATCCTGCATATACGGGCGCCCAATTCAATAGCCTCATGGGTCTGGCTGACCAATCAGCAGCCATCGGGGCAGAGAGATGCCGACCGATGTTGGCGTCTTAGGATGAGGGCTCCAATTTCCAACAGAAGCCGGGTGGTATATCTAGTGCTCTACCGGTGACCCACTAGTGCTACCTATCTCATCCGGGAGGTGGGGATATACTTTTCCTATTTCGCTTTAATCGAATTATTGATTTCCTGGTTCACCGCTTGGTATCTTCATGTCGCGCATGCTAGACATTGTCAGTGTAATGTATATAGTTAGACGGCCCTAGCCTTGAAGCAGACTCTCTAGCCTGTGATGCACTTTTCCGGCATTCTCGTTTAATATGTTTTGTTCATCTCAGGTGGCCGTAGCTTACTGACTCTCCACCCTTCTTGGCAGGAGTGGGGGCAATAGCAGTGAGGCTTTTTATCCTATTCACAGCCAGCCTACGAACAATAGACAAAGAGGCGCCAGACTAATACTCCTATTTAAGGAAATTATCTTAAGTGCTTATAACTTGTTGCCTGAGGATGGCAGCTTTGCACTGTTGCTCTAAGCAATGAATTCTAATCTTAAGAGCGTTCAAGGTCGATTTAATGGGCGTCCAGGCCCCCAAAGGGTGGACGGACAGTCTTGCCTAACGATTTTATTCCGCTTACTGTCACTCTAGTATCGGCGGCTGCCTCTTTACTGCCGCCAATTCTTCGTCCATCCTCGGTATCAAATAACCCACTGGACTGGCAAAACAAGTCATCATCACCGGGGAAACTAGGTGGCTGGGCTTGGGTTCTAAAAGCCCGACCTGACTCCAGACTCAAGAGACATGAACCGATCCCAAGTATCCATCTCCACCAATGCCGAAACCTTGCTGCCAATGGCCCGTCTTTATACGTGTCTCTCGGATCCTCCAGAACAGGGAGCCCTATGCAATCCTCTAGTTTGAGTATTGCGCTGAACCAAAGGGAATTTTCAAACATGCTTACGTCAAATAACTGCCTAAGGTCTTCTCGATAGACCTTTCCGCTTCTTTGCAGTAGTAACCAGGTCGTTCCCCATTCGAAAAATGCTGCGCCCCACTAGAAATGCGTCAGTTAGGCCCCAGCCCTATGTTTACTCGCACTCACTCCAAAAGGATCTGCTGCGACTCGTTGACCTTTCATTAAGTTGAAGATCTCGGTAAGTGTGAGGGTACCGTCGCATTTTTTATCGTACTTGGCGAAAAGGTTTTCGAAGGCTTGGGGGACAAATCGGCCTTCGTTGTCGTATGTGCCGCTATCAGAACCATGCTGCGTTCGATGTCAGTAATAGCCGTTATCTTTAGAACACAGACATGAAGTGTTGTGAGTGAAGACCATGTGCCTACTTTTGCCTTGTGTACGCTACTAACGTAGACTCTGAAGAACGGATCCGGGAACCACGAATACGCCAACCGGGTCGGGTAGGAGAAGTTGACATTAATGATCAGAAGTGCAATGATGGAAAAGAGGATGTTAAACCCCAATTCCCGGAAACCAATATAGGTATCGTACGGGGAAATCTTGCCATCTGCGTCTCGATCCCAAAACAGAATATGCTGTTGTAGCGGGGTCTAGGTGGGGAACGTGGTAATATTAAAGATTAGCCTCAGTTCTGGCTAATACAGTAGGACATCGGTAGTGCGCACGGAGTGACATTGCCCACTCACATATTCCTGAAATCGGGCAGGAAACGTCCCATTAGGATTTTCCCTGGATACGGCTGCGTTGGCTCGGGCAATGGCTGGTTTGGAAATGCTGTCTCCAAGGTTTGTCGCCAAGGGCCGGGTTTGAGTAACAACTGCTTTGCTGGCCTCAGTTGAGAAGCCCAAGTCGGAATTCGATGTGATAATTGGAGATGCCATTGTAGTGGACTCGATGTAGGTATGCACAGAAGATAGGAAACGTATACTTGAGTGAGATATGGTAAAGAGCACAATATACTCAGTAAGGTCTATAAAAGAGCACACTGAGACCGGTTGGCCGGGAATTAAGGGTCAGCTTTTAAGCTCACTAGAACTAATGGCTGCGTCTTGAAGTGCGCAATTTCTATTGTGCCCGATTTGCAGTCTCCTTAATTCCGTCCGGAAAGCCTATTCATGATGTCATCAGCATGGTAATTTCAGTACTCATATCTAGGTGGAGCAAGCGCGATTGGTTAAGCCGCTGATTCAGTATGGCGTCACAGGATCTCTCGGGAGCATCCGGATCCGCCTCCCTGTTTTCACGAGTCAACTTGACTTTCGCTCATTGTATGGTTGAGCATCGATGAGCGTAGCGTCTGTCCGTCTCGTTGGCCAATGTGCTTACGGGGGGTATTTTGCCGAGGCTTTGGGCTTCTCCAAAAATTCTCATCTCTGGTTCACTAGTGCTGAATACCGAAAGCTAGTACCACATTGGTGGCAATGGTCCGCTGTTGCTTGACCCACAGCGCCCCGCCCCACCGTCTATTCCGGCCACCAATGTTACATTCTGGATTTGTCGACGAGAAGTTGGATTGTTGTTTCCTAACGTCAGCAACAGGTCATCACGGGCTCCAGCTGAAGTAGTAGTCTTTGATTAGTCTGCTCTTCGTCTGGCTGGTGGAATGGCCTAGAGTCTGCTACTGCACTGCCCTTCTTTGCAAATTATCAGTCTCAACGGGATGGCAGGGATCTACCAGCCAGGTGTTGCACGAGCAAACATAGCAGTGTCAAAGGCCCGTCCAAATGGCACACCGGATCATGCAGAGAAGTTCAAGGACTATGTATGTTTTCGTTTAAGGACTCCGGACTTATATCCCTCTCCAAGAGACCAGAGCAGCTGCTTAACCTCTGGACTAGGAAGACAATCAGTTAACATCTCTAATTGTATTTCTAGAGTGTTCTCCAGCAACACATCCTGTTTTGGGACCGGGATGGGGATGGGGTTATCTGGCCTTACAATACCTATCGTGGGTTTCGCCGTCTCGGGTTCAACATTCTCTTCTGCATTTTTGCTGTAATGGTGATTCACGGAGGATTCTCATACCCTACCCGGCTAGAGTATACATAGGCCCCTGATCCGTTCTTCAGGGTATTTTTGGGTAGTATTCATAAAGCAAAGGTGGGAAAGTTACAGTCCATGCAGCGAATATTACGAGCCTCTGACTTACGACATATAGCACGCATCTGACTCTTCTGTGTACGACCACGAAGGCCGATTCGTTCCTCAGAACTTCGAAAACTTATTTTCCAAATTCGGGAACCCAGATGAAGGGACTTTATCGTTCTATCAGCTTCGCAATTTGATGCATGGAAATCGTTGTGCGGCGGATCCCTTCGGTGTATGTTGCTTGTACCTAGAGGTAACTTGGACAAGAAAGTCGTACGCTGACATGCAAAGTCATTCGCTGCTTTTTTTGAATGGGGCACCACTTGGTTATTACTACAAAAAGATGGGAATGTCCACAAAGAAGATGTGCGACGTCTATATGATGTAGGTCTTCAGGCGAGAGCAGTTACGGCACAGCACAACACCGAGATCACTCCAAAGGTACTATATTTCGCTCGTATTTCTAAGGCCTAATAAGTACTTCCTTTAGGGTTCCATCTTCTGGCGAATCGAAACGGAGCGAACAAAAGGGGTCGGCTAGAACCAGGGGTTCGGTCTCGGTGGCGATGGGTTCTGGGGTTCAAGGAAGCGAAAAATGCCGCTCAAGCTAATGTGGATATTCAGGATCTTTCGTCGACTGGCCAAGCTCCTAATCGTCACTTTTCTCTCGAGCTTTATCTGCCTATATACCTATGACAGAGCAGTGACCCCTTGGGTGCCCGGCCCAGAGTCGGGACCGCCAACTTCCTTGGAAAGCGCTTGGTATCCTCGGCAGTGTCCAAGTCATACTGGGCCGGTCCACCTACCTAATTCGACCAAAGAAGTCGAGACAATCATCAAGGACGCTTTGAATAGTTGTCCCATGGCGTTAGGAGAGAGCGTGGGGAGCGAACAGCTAAACGTGCGTGCGTCGAGGCAGCTCTACCACAGCAGTGTAAAATTTCCCTGCATCAACGTTAATGCGGGGAAATATACGATCCAGCTAGACATGGCACGTATGCACCGAGTCATCTCATGGGATGCTGAAGACATGTCTATTACGGTAGAACCTTCTATCCAGATGAATCATCTTATGGATACTATGCATGAGCTAGGCATGAGTATGCCATTTCACTACATTCCGATATATACCGCATTGACCATCGGGGGTATGCTTCTAACGGGTGCACATAGCAGCTCGGTCGAGCGACCGTCCGCCTTCGGGCATCTAGTCTCGGAGCTGGAGTACGTGGACAGTCACGGCGAGGTCAGACGGGAGGAGAACCCTACCCGGTGGATCGGTTCTTTAGGGATGTACGGAATTATCACACAGGTGACCCTCCGCGCGACAGCACCCTACAAGCTCAATACTACGGTGAGACGAACTTAGAACCCTGTCGGGGCGATGGCTTATCTTAGATTCTAGGTGGTTAAAGAAGACGACTCTAACCTCCCCGAACGGATTGCCACGCTAGTGCGCGAACCGGCGTTCTCCCGGGTCTTATGGTATCCCAACGCACACACAACGATTATCCGATGGCATTCGGCGACAACCCCTAACACGCCGGGGGATGCATACTATAGCTTCTTCGAACACCGGCCCTAGGCAGCCGTCGGGGGCAAGATGGGCCTAATGCTTGATCAAGTGAACTTTACCCCGATACCCACGGACTGGACAATCTGCTACTTCGAAAAGCACTTACCTCCATTTTGGTACAAGGAGGGCTCCACGAATCTTTGGCTAGGCTTTAACGAAAGTGTGATCGGCTGGCCACATAAGCTGGGAGGTTCCAGCTGCGAAGGAAGTCAGGTTGGCTGTTACTGGCAGAACCAGGTGCAGATCCTCATCGAGTTCGACATGGATGTGCGCTTGCTAGGGCAATGGATCCGCGAGGTGCGATCTATCACAGATTCCATCCGCTACCACGGGTGCCTGCCGTCATTACTGGGGTTCGCCATGCGATTCGGCAAGGCTTCCAGCGCCCCCCTAGATATGGCCTACGGTCGAGATACGGTCTACATTGACATGCTTGTCGCCAAGGGTATTCCCGGCCTGCCGGCCAACCACCAGGATGTCCTCGATGAAATCGAACAGATCACCTTCGGTAAATACGACGCACGGCCACATTGGGGGAAGAATCCTGAACGGGCCTTCCTAAGCCAGGACTATCCCGTCCGAAATAAATATCCGGAGTTCGACAGGCATATCCAGATGGCCCGATCTGCGGATCCACGGGGCATCTTTGAGCCTGCATTGTTCAGTCAGATCAAGGACCGCGGACATCACAGCATGTATCCCGGATGTGCCGTCGCGATGGATTGCTACTGCTCCAAGGACGAGCATTGTGGGCCATCGCTTCTCTATCGATGCGACCGTAGCCTACATTCTGCCAATGCTAGCGTGTGCCGGAAGAGGTTCGACTTAGCCATCGTCACCACGCTAGGCAAACTTCTTCGCGTGTGATGGGGGCGAACAAAAGCGTTGCTAAGTACGATAGGCAAGCTACAAATTATTGACGGGAATTGTCTTTCGGGAGTCTGCAAAACAGCAAGGATCTTTGAAATCACCAAATTGTTTAGAATATAATTGTGTCCTTGGTTTACCCTCTGTCCTCTTCTGATAGTACGGCGTTGTTCTCTGGATTGAGCAGTCCGGTGGTAGCATGGAAGCCTGAACTCCTTGATACAAAAAGCATTTACCACGGCACCTGACGCTCTACCAAGAATGGCGCCAGGAGACTGTTTAGTGATAGTTGCCCATGATTTGCTTTCATTCATTGGGGAGTGACATTTGTCATGACATTGTAGCATTGTAGTATCATCGTTAGTTATCTAAACCACTAGCTTTCAATGAAATCAAACGTTGTTGGGAACTAAAGAGGGCTACGGTCTGGAAACGTCTCTGCTGAAACACAACCGAAGGTAGACAATCCTCCAGTCGCAGCGATACAAGCTAGGGCAAGGCCGGCTATAGCGAATACTCCAGCAATGACGCTTGTCGCGACAGTTGATGTTACAAGGCAAATCTCGTTTGTAAAGGTTTGTTGGAATGGGTAGTCAGGTCTCAACTGGAGAGAATTTGGCATGGGACCATGTCCGCTAGAGACTAGAGTAGCGTAGCAGTCCACAGAAAAAGACAGTCCCGAAGAGTGCTGTGCCTATGATGCTGCTGCTGGGGGGTGGTGCTGCTGCTGTGGATGGTGCTGCTGCTGTGGATGGCCCTGCTGTTGCGGGCCATCCTCCTGCTGCTCGCGTGGTGACCATGGCATTGGATAAGAAAAACAGACCAAGGCAAGGTAGGGTAGATCGCAATTTCACTAAGTGTCGGGATAATATCCCTTGCGTGGTGTACGCATTCCTGCGCGGAGCTGCGGCTCCGGTGTGTTGTGACCGCCAAGATTGGTATCTTGGAACCTGACCGGATACACACATCTATCTACATGAATCAACCAACTTTTGCTTAGGAGCATAAACTGTTCACTTAACTGTGTACACGGTACCTAGCTAGTGATACCAACACTTAGAAACAGGAATGGAACAATACAACTGGGGGCACGGAAACCGATAAGCATGGCGTGTACATAGATGTCCCCGGGGCTTTCCCCTCAGCCTATTCTGTTTCATAATATACCGCAGATGATATACAATAGACTATTACGAGATAATTGATATTATAATCATGGTAGCTACTTGCTTTTTACTCACACTTCATTTAAACGGGACAAAAACAATGCAACATCAAAGTTAACAGAGAACGCGGAATTAATACTCAAATAGAAGAGGGGTCGCAGAAGCATATTAATCATGAAATTGGACAACGTATTCTTCCCGGTTGACTCGAGATAAGAAGCGGCTTAGATCGGGATTAAATAGAGTTAAGGATAGACAACATCAATTGCGATTATTCTAATCACTCCCTACTGGTCGAGAAGAGTAGAGCCAGACTAGCAAGCTTTGGATCTAATAAATTCAACAACAAGATCAAGGTCTCGCTCCCGACTTGGGATAGAATGACCTCCAGGATGCCAGATAACCACGGGCCTCGTTTCCATATTCGGAGGCTGAAAACTCTCAACCAACCTCATTGGCGCGTCCTTACCCACCACCTTATCCGAACTCCCCAGGAGACGTAGCGATGGTGTCCCAATATACGGCTCATAAAAAGCGCGATAGGCAGGATAGGAGCTGGGATAACCAGAAATGCTAACCACGAACTTAAACGGAGGATGATTGAGTGAGGTAAACGCATCGGGATACCTCATCCCGCCATGCGATTGAAAGCGCGCAAATGAGACTTTCCTGTTCCCTTCAAGTAGTGATGCGATCATCCCAGCCATTGCGCCACCCTGGCTAAAACCTATGATGCCATCGAAGGGCTCACAATCCTTCAGAACGGAGACTGTGGACTCTAAGCCTGTCATTAATCCGGGATACAGACCATCGACATTGTCAGCTTGCCACCAGCAATAAGTTCCACGCTGGTCACGTAATTCAGAGGAATCATCAGTGGAGGCGAACTCAAAGCGACCCGTTGGATAGACGAATTCTACCCCATTAGGCCCGAAAACCCGTTGGATGAGCTTTTCAAGCGCACTGGCTTTGGCTCGAAAGAGCTCACCTGATTGCCAGGCCCCTGTAGGAGTGAGCACATTCTAGATATTTTGAATGAAGGAGCGTACCATGAATCATGAGTATCTTCATCCTGGAGATGACACGTATGTATAGCGCTGAGATAACCTGTTAACATCGCTCTATATTCAAATCAGTAACGCTAGATTCACCTGACCAGTTCCCCTGACTGCGGCAAGAAAACAAAGCCCAGGAAGGAGACCAGGGAAGCGAAAATTTACCCGGGCGGGCTGATCGAAGGATAATTTGAAAAATGTGACGGGGCGCTCTTCTAGGGAGGCGTCTGGATATCTTCTGCAGAATCTTGACAGAAACTCAACCCTATTCTTCTCCTACCTAGTGGCAGTTCAAATGAGTATAAAGATTATGAGGAGATATTACGAGGAGGAAGTAAAGGAGAGGACACGAAGCCAACCTTGGAAAAAAAAGAGACGCTATGACGGAGGGGTGACGCTACGTCAGGTATGTCGATAGAGAAGCAGTACAATGTAGCTGGGAAGTGGAAACCTGCAGGTGTCGGGAACCGTCATTCCCCGTTTCGGGCCTCAACCTTATTGGGTTCGCATGTTTAGATTGGGCACCATTTCTTGCGGGTTAGACCGACTTTTCTCTATATGAGGAAAATCGACACGACGACACACTTGCTCGGCACACATTTTCCTTTCAAATTCTGCTTAGTCATACCGGGTCGACCAGCCAGAATGCATGTCGGAACGAACAGCCTATGGGGACCGGATTATTGGATGATCCGAAGTAATTATTTCTTATGTAATCAGAAACCCCCATAGTTAAATTGCCAGATTCAGGGGTATAGCAATACAGAGTTCTTTTCACCGCTGATTGGCCCTTATATTACGTGCTCCGACACGTTATATCTAGGTATTTGGTGTGCATATAGGTCATCGCACACATGGTGTAAGGTCATCGCACACATCACGTGATTTTATTTTTATTTTGCCCCACTTTTCTGGAAGAACGTAAATCCTTCGTAATTTTGGAATTACCCTTACGGAATTACCCATCCGGAATCTTCCTTCTATAATCCTTCTATAAAACTAGACAACATCTAGTTCTCTTCTTCACTATCCTTCTCTTCTTCACCATCCTCTCTACCATCTCCACCATCTCCAAAACCATCCTCTAAACTAGTAAACAGCTGGTTCTCATCATCTCCATCATCTCCATTATCTCTATTATCTCCATCATCATCATCATCATCATGGCCCAAGTCAAGAAAAATGTGAGTTTACTAGTTCTGAAGTGGTTTTGGGGCATTCAAACTGACAGATTTACAGCCAAACTTCCAACGTTACCTTGACCTGTCGAAGGCAGATCTGAAGCTCCCTTCTCTCACTGAAGACGTCAGTTTACTAGTTCCGAACTGGTTTTGGGCTGCAAAGCTAATTGATATTACAGAACAAAGGCTATTGCACCATCGAGGTTGGCGAGAGATACTGTCGAGTTGAAGATTGTGGAAATGCTGTAAGTCTTTTACTTTTACTTCACTTTACTCCTCACTTTGCTCCTTTCTAAACTAGTTGCTAACTACTTTATAGACTCTCTTTACCTCCACCAACAACCTCCGCAAGCACGTTCAGAAGCAGCATCCTGAAGTGTCTCTGACTGGCGAGGAATTTGGTGGTCGCCCTTGCCAAGCTGATGAATTCCGTGCTATCAGAAAGTGCTACAACTAATTAAGAACTAGTTAATTTGGATTTCTGAATAAATTACTAACTAGTTTACAGAGTTTTTCAATGAGATCATGGAGGCCTACGATGAGCGCGAGGCGGCAAAGGAAGAGATTTTGCCTAAGCTTCCTCTCAAGAATGATCGATCGGTAAGTATCGCGATATATTAGTTGCTAACTAGTTCTTCTACTAATATTCTTAGGTGCATATTACCAAAATGCGTCAAGCCGTTCGATCGATGAAGCTTCCTATGCCTTGTGAGGTTTGCAAAGACACTGATCAACCTAAGCGTGAGTACTCCAGAAATACAAGGTTTAAACCAGTTACTAACTAGTTTAGTCTGCTGCCATGACGAAGTCAAGGGCACTTGTGAGCATTTTGGTCTTTTCACTGACCCTCGCAATCAGCAGGGTCAGGAGTACGTCCCATCAGAGGATGAGGCGTAGGGACTAGTTTGAAACTAGTTTTCTTCGTGGGTTTTGCTTTTTTGCTATCAAGCTTCAAGAACTAGTTTTAACTAGTTCTTTATGGTGTTTTCTATGGTTTTCAATTTGCATTTTTATTTTGAGAACTAGTTTTACCTAGTTCTTTATGGAGTTTTGGAGTTTTGCTTTTTGCTTTGAGAACTAAAAAAAAACTAGTTTTAACTAGTTCTTTATGGTGTTTTGCGTGTTTTGTATTTTGCATTTTTGCTTTAAGAACTAGTTTTACCTAGGTTTTAACTAGTTCCCTCTCTTTATCTGCTCTAGTTGCGCCGCAACAAGCTGCCTTTCTAGTTCCATCTTCGCAACCCTTAGTTCTTGTTCTTTAGTCTCAAGCTCTAACTGCTGGCGCTTTATTTGTCTTTCTTCTCGAGCATCCTCTATCCCCTGGCGTTTTTGCTGAATTTCGAGCTCTCGAAGGTCGCTTAAATGATCACGATTTTGCGAGTTAATCGCTGCTGTACGACGAAGACTAGAACTTATGGATGCACTATAGAAGTAGTTAGTAATTGATTCTTAACTAGTTTGAAACTAGTTAAATACATACCGAGACTGGCTACGTGTAACCCCTCTAGAGCTTAATCGCTGTGGTGTGGCTGATCTCGATCTTGACTGTGGTGTAGCTGACCTTGACCGACGTTCAATATCAAATACGAAGCCAGAAG